GCCGCCAGTCCCCCCCCCGGCGTCCCCCCCTGAGCCAGGGCTCCCATCTCCCACGGACAGAGGCGAACCCCATTTGCAAGCCACAGGCAAACTGCTGCCTCTGCATTTGACTGCCTGGAATCCAGCCTGCGCTCTCACGGATGGAGACAGTGACAAAGCCTGCAGGGACGGACTTACCGGTGGGGACGGACTTACCGCTTGGGAACATGATCAGCGCGAGCTGGATGAGCCGGGCGGCTCTCTCCCGGGCCTGGCTTAGTTCCAGCTCCGAGCCCTCCTCCTGCTGGCTCAGGAAGAAATAGGCCAGCGGCACCGAGAAGGCAAAATTGGGCAGCTGGGACAAATTCCGGTGACTCTGCAGGATCAGAGAGACAGAGTTACCGGGAAATGATGCTATGCAGAACGATCTCGATGTGGCTGGGCTGCGCAGTTTTGCTCGCCGGACTGTTACTTTCTAACCGCTGGCTTGGTGCCCCCACAACTGAGTAAGCAACTTTGAGTCTGGACAATTGTTTGCAGGGTACCAGGATGACAAGAACAAACGCCCCGGCCTTGATGGGTCATTCTGATGATTTTGGGATGCCAGCCTGGCCACGAGACAGCCCTCAAAGGGCCAAGCTTGTTTGGAAAACCTCATTCTCTGCAGCCCAGCCACCCTCTCCAGCCCAGTCCAGGTGGGGAGAGCCCCAGGAACCAGCTCTCCCCTCTCTGCCCCTCTCACCAGGGCAGCCTGTTGCCAACTCACCTCCCACTCCTGGAACATGCGGGTCAGGAAGGTGTATTCTCTAGCTCGGAGGGCCAGAAAATCAATCAGCAGCAGCACACACAGTGGGTCGTTCTCCGGATCAAGGCTTCAGAGGGAGGCGAGCACAAGGGGAGGAAACAAAAACCAGTGTCACAAAAGCTGAAGCAGCTGTCCTCATTTCTAGGTCAAACCAGATTTTCCCACTAGCATCCAGAGAGCTTCCGTGACTCAGCAAGCGGGGATAACGGGAACACGAGAAAATCAATCAGCAGCAGCACACACAGTGGGTCGTTCTCCGGATCAAGGCTTCAGAGGGAGGCGAGCACAAGGGGAGGAAACAAAAACCAGTGTCACAAAAGCTGAAGCAGCTGTCCTCATTTCTAGGTCAAACCAGATTTTCCCACTAGCATCCAGAGAGCTTCCGTGACTCAGCAAGCGGGGATAACGGGAACACGATTGAGTTCACATCTGCTCTGCAGACACTCTGGGCTCTGCGGACCAGCCAGGCCCACAGCTCAGCAGCCTCCTGTCTGTCGAAGCCTCCTTCTAACAATCACCCCTCTCCAAAGCAGCATGCAGACAACAGCACATGGCCAAAACTAACTTGTGACACTGCATCTGTAAGGAGTGGACATGAGCCCTCACTGAGCCTGGGAGCAGTACACCTCGGGGTTTTTGTCCTGCCCGGGTGAGGCTTGGTGCATTTAAGTGTGGTCCCCAAAGCCTGCGATGCCCTGCCCCATCCCGCACGGAAGGGGGTGCAGCCCTCGGTGGGGGCACCTACCTCAGAATCAGCTTGCAGAACTCCAGCGCTGTCCGGGGGCAGCCTCTCTTCTCCAGGAACATCAGGTGTTTGAAGAGAGCCAGGAAGAAAGCCCTGCGTGGGGAACGGGAGCAAGTTTTAGAAGCCAGATTTGCAGAGAAGCACCTTGTGCAGCTCAAGAACAGGGACCCACAGTCAGCCCCAGCTCCTCACCCCGAGCATCAGCACCACGGTGCAGCCAGGGGGGCCAGGGAATCCAGCCCGGTGCAGTACGGAGTGCCACAGACCCTCCACCACCCCATCCCTCTTTTTAATTTCTCTGTGCAAGCATGGGGACAGCAAAGCCATGGCCTGCTCTGTCCCCGCTCCCCGGGGCCCTGCAGCCTCGCGCTGTAGCGGACGGGCTGACAACTCCAGACGAGAGAAAACAAGTAAATGCCCAAGTCTGCCTCCTGCCCTGTCCCAGCCCGCCCAGCTGCGTGGGGACGGCGATACGGAGCGTGCACGACGTGTACGGGGGGAGGACTGACACTCAAACTGGGTGAGACACAGATGGCAGCGTTCAGGTCACAGCCAGTGCAGAGCCCGTCAGCCAGCGGGTACTGGAAATCTGAGCAACCTCCAGGTACAGCAGTCTGGGAGGGTGACTCGGGTCAGCTGACTGGAAAATTCCCAGAATAAAGTCACCTTTCCCTGCAGCTGCAGAGCTGTCATTACATAAAGAGCTGGGCCGGGAGCTGGGGGATGGAGTGCTGGGGATGAAGGCCGGGCAGGCAGCACACCAGCGACCGAACGCAGCCGTAAATGTGCAGCCAGGGCTTCTGTGACAAAAATAAATGCTGTTTTGGGCTAAGGGGTACTAATTGCATGAGAAGGATGTCATGGGGAGGAACAGTTATTGCACCAGTAAGAAAACGCTCGGGGAAGAGGATGCTTTGCAAAGAAACCTCAGTGCAAGAGCTGCCTGTACCCCGGCACCCATCTCAGGAGCCCTGCTGGTGCCAGGCTGAGGGGCACTGCCCTTCAGGGCACAGCTTGCTCTGACAAAAAGGGACGTTCAAGGTCCCCCTGCCGCTGCTCGCCAGCGGGAAGATGCAGCGGACGTCATGAATCTGGGTCTCTGTGTCCAAAGTGGGCCAGGGCACATGGCGCCGGCTCCCTGGCAGACGTGGTGCGGGCAGCCGAGGTAGTCCAGCCTGCAGGTCCCACTGGTGAGGCTGAAGACGGGGTGGAAGGCGCACTCCAGGCTGTACAGCGCCCGCTCTGCAGACAGCGAGGACAGTGTCAGGGCACGCCACCGCCCCGGCACGCCACGCCACGGGCCCCGCTGCTCACCAAACGGCCGTTGATTTAGCCCAGAAAACACTGATAATTTAGAGCTCTGGCACCCCTGAGATACGCTTGTTCACAGCCTAGCGAGGCGCAAAGCTACTTCATCCACCCAGAGAGGTGGTGGATGCTCCATCCCTGGAGACGTTCAAGGCCAGGTTGGACGAGGCCCTGAGCAACCTGATCTAGTTGGAGATATCCCTGTTCCTTGCAGGGGGGTTGGACTAGATGACCTTTGAAGGTCCCTTCCAGCCCTAACCATTCTATGATTCTATGATTCTATGATTCAGAGGACGTGGTCACAGCAGATACTCAGGCAAGTGAGCTCTGCTCCTTCCTGCGGGCACTAGATCGTGCTCCAGTTGTGAAAAGTAACTCTCTTGGAGATCTGGGAATGAGGCTGGAGCAGCTGCCTCTGCCACAACCATCTTCACGCTCGGAAGCCAAAGATCATGTCCTCACTTCACCTCTGGCCCCTCCTATCATGCTGGAGAGCACATGCCCTGGTTACCAAACACCACAGAACACATGGGAGCAGCCCGAGGGGCAGCCATCCTCCAGGACACCTCCTGCCCCGAGGAGCAGAGCCCGCCGTGCTGACCTGCAGCGTGCTGGTCGGAGGAAGGCAAGGTGGGCCGGCCCGGAAGGTCGGGCGGGCTCTCCACCGAGTGGGTAGGCTTCCTCTGCAGCCCCTCGCACTGCAGGACCTGGTAGCTACTAAGTCAGACCTTCCTCCTGCAGGGGACATCCTGCAGGTGAGACCCCTCCATGTCCAGACAACCATTTTGTTCATTTTGAAGGCGAACGCCGATGTGCTTTGCCCCAGAGGAGCACATCCAGCTCCATTTAAAAGCCTCCAGCAAAAGCTGCTGGTCTGCAGGATCACGTAAGGCCAGGCGCTCACGGCCCAGAGTCACAGACACAACCACACCAACCCTTCTGGTTTGCTGCTTCTCTGTTCAAACCAAACCAGAACTGGACCAGAAGCCTTTGATTACCAGTTCACTCCAGGACATCACCTCCTCACCTCCTCACCTCAGCTCTTACCTATGAGATCGCGGGCCATCTCCTGATCCTCCTGCATCCGGCACACGTCGCTGAGCTGCAGAAGGGAGTCCACGTGGTACGGGTTCATCTGAAGCAGGAGCTACAGAAGAGCATGAGTTTCGTCACACGAAGGTTTCACAGGATTACACAGGTTTCTCACGCACTCTGCCTACGGGGCAGGCTCCGAAAGCGTGGCAGGGAGACCAACACCCGGACACCGGGCCTGACAGAGAGGCTGTTCTCACCCCTGGGTCTGAAGGTGAAGACATCTTGTCCTGCACCACCAGAGAGCCAATGCTCAGGACTGCAGTACAACGCTGGGGACACGCCTCGCGTGAAAGGCTAAAACTAAGGAATAAAAGAACCTAGGAACAGCCCCCTGGGTCAGAGCAGAGGGCCACCTTGCCCTGTCTCCAGAAGTAGATGCCTGGGAAAGCGGGCACGAAGCTGGGCAAACGTGATGACTCCCAGCACGCTCTAAGCTGCCAACTTCTAGGGGTTCCAGGACCTCCACTGTCAAGATGCCATTTATATCAACAGCGTCTCCTCCCCTGAATTTGTTCACTTACTGACCCAGGTACTTCTCCAGCACCCCAGCTCTGCCATACAGAAAGCCACTGCTTAAGAACTTCCTTTCATCCCAACCTGCCAGCTTCATCCCTGTGCTGGAAGGGATGGCAGGGAGATCTCTCCCCACCCCACGCAGGATCCAAGCCCTCAATCGCAGCTTCCCCCAGGCAGCTCACTCCCAGCAGACCCAGCTTTTCCAGCACAGAGGCCATGCCAGGCGTCTGATCATCTTTGCTGTCCTCCTCCAAAGCTCTCCCAGCTCCACCATATCCTTTTGAAGGTAAGGGCCCAGAACTGCACGCAATACTCGAGATGCAGGCAGCAGGCATAATTACAGTTTTGTTTTATTCTCTATCCCTTACGAATTCTGAGCACTTAATTGATCAGACTTTTGCTTCCTCTGGGTACTAAGAGGCCATTTTCGTACATCTCTTACTACTCCAGGATCCAGCTCCTGAATGGAAATGGATTAAATTATTTTTTCCAGGCTTCTGAATAGAAGTGTAAGTTTAACCACACCTTGGAACACTCTGCATTCATTAATGATATTATATCTGGGCTACTTTTTCCAAATAGATAAAACTCAGTTCCAATATGAAAATACTGAAGCTACCTTGAATCTCCTCAGTTTAGTTTTTGGGATTTTTTTCCCCCCCAAACTGAAAAATATGGCTTCAAAAGTCGTACATCTGCAGGGTGGTGGCCAGTGTGACCACCTACTGTACAAAGCCTTTATGTTCTAGGCTGTGCCAGCCCAGGGCCTTTGCCTCGGTGCCACTTGCCTGACATTTCAGCCCTTCCTTGGTTGCTCTTAAGTTCCTTTCTAGTCCTCCCTCTTGGGAGAGATGGAGCACCTAGGGTCACTGCAACACACGCACTGAGAACTTCACCAGCAAAACCCTTTTCTCTCACTGGCAAGAGCAGAAAAACACTGAGCAGGAGCCCCAAAAATCCTCTTTTGCATGCTGAAACCACAGCAGCAAGGCAGATCTGGGCTCTGGCTACGTGAAACCGTGGCTGTCAGATAAACGGGCTGGAGGTTTGAAGTACCCCTGGCATCGGCAAAGCCCTGTTAGATTTTACCTTCACAGAAAACTGAAAGGTGGAAGCTGTGGGGATATCTTCAAACACAGCCAGACCCACGCAACAGGGACAGAGCCTGAAAGACTAAAAGGTGCCACGGAAAAGCTCCGCACAGGGACTGGGTCTGGGCTGTCCTTAGGACACTGGCTCTCAGCTCCATCGCTGCTGCACAGGAACAACCTCACACCGGTTAACATGGACCCCTCGGACCAGTCAGCCGGCTGAACTGGCGGGCTGGAGACTGGAGAGAGCAGCGGCCGTGAGCAGAGGGTGGGAAAGCGGAAAGAAGTCAACTTTACTCAGCAGACAATGGCCTCTTTAAGGAACTTCTCCAGGGCACGCACCCGAGCTCATGTGGCCAGGGCTTCCAGAGCAAAAATACCTCAGTTATCGTTCAATTCAGCAGGGCGCAAGGCAGTTGTGCTGCTGCTTATCGCTGCAAACTATAAATGTTACCACACAGTTTAATGAGCTTGGACACGCACAAAGAACTTTACACAAAGACTGTTTTGCTGAAATACCAAGAGACACATTTTTCATCCATGCAAGAGCTTATAAATAGAACAGCTGTTAGTTTAGCTTCCCGTTTAAAGATGGGTTCATACAATATTTTTCCTTTCCCAGCTGAAGAGCTGAGACAAGGGAGCTTTATTCCTCCCCTTTCAGCCAACTGGGCAGTTCCTACAGGCTCCTCTTCCAGATGGCTACTGGCATGCTCTCGGGCAGAGCCACCG